GGAACATGCCACAGCTGCTTGGGGTCAAAAAAAAAACCGTTGAACTTGCTTGCGTCAGGTCGAGCATGGCGCTCTTCATGATCACTCTGCACAACAAGGGTGTGCTGACTGGAGGGAAGAACACCCTCATCACTGCTTGTGGCCTAGAGTAGCAGAGACATGGATGGAAATGCTTCCGAAGATGCATCGCTGAGGTACTTTTTACCATCTTCGTGCCGGCTCTGTTTCTTACTGGTACGCATGCCACCCTTCAGGCGCAACCTCGTAAGCTTCTGACTCTTCTAGCAGCTTGAGAAACACGCAGCGCCCGATGCCAGGCCAGTTTCCCTTGAGCTCCCGAGCACTTCCGAGATGAGCCTCTGTCCAGGAGGATCCGACTCTTGAGCAAATCAGAGGAACAAGACAGGATTTGTTGTGTGTCCTCTTCCTGAAGATTCAGATCCTCGCAGAAATATCGCTTTCCATTATGTCCAGCATAGGGCACTTTTGTAGAGCAGATGCAGCCCGCAGCTTTTTAATGCCCTCAGCGCTGAGGGATCTATGCACCGCAGAAGGAATCTAGCTTGTGAGCCTTTCAGCGAGGCATCGGGCGAAGCCTGTACTGTTGGCAGGGCACATGGTGTCCTCGCTGCCGGCGGCAGGTTGTCATTGTATCGATGTGGAGTCAGATGATAAGACCAGGACTATGTGTGGTATAGGCCTCAAATGGCAAGGCCATTGTCTCAGTCCCGACACGTAGGAGTGCCCGAAATGGCTCCGGCGAAAATACGTTTGTGTGGATGCAAAGCTAGCTCTTTGCGTCGACGAGCTTTTTTAATTCAGGTCCGCTGTGTATACCTGATGGATGTATGGGCGCAGGGCCAACAAAAGCGGCTCAGCATCGGCGGATGACATCTCTGAGTGAAGCCTCCCCGCCGGTTTCTCCACCCCAGCCAGGTGAGCTCTTTTGAAGTATCTCCTGCACTACCTGAGGCCGACTTGTTCTGAGTCGTTCATGTAAGCACCTTCGATAAGCGGTTTGCAGTCCTGCGAAGGGCCTGGAGCTTGATGCATCTACTGGGCCGTCGGCTCGGGTTCGGCATACAATCTCGATGCAAGTTCCTTTACTTTTCAGAGGTGTGTGGATATGTATATTATGCATAGACCTACATTATATAAACTCCGTTTCTATTATGTTCTATTCGTTTTTATTCTATGCTATTCTATATGCCATGCTTTTCTGTTCTATTCTATTCCATAATAGGCTACACTTTACGAGAACAGGTTAGGTTAGATGAGCCTGCATCATGTTATACAATGCTGTGCTAAATTTTTGGTAAACGATATCAATTGGCGATAATTTCTGTTTTTCATTTCTATGCCATAATACGTGATATTATGTTTAATTTGTTATATGACGTTGTATGGTGTTATATGTTGCTATCTTTTGTCATCTTATGTTAGCTTATGCTGTAAAAGGTTGCATTAAGTTCTGTCACTTTATTTTGGTTCATTTTGTCATGCTATGTTCGATTATGTTATCTTTTCTGTTACATTATGCCATCTTTTGTGTTATGTTATGCTATGTTTTGCCATCTTGTGCTATAATATGCTATATTGTGTCATATCAGGCTATATTATGTTATTGTAAGTTTTTTCATGCTATGTTATATTATACTGTGGTATATTATGTGAGAGTATAGTATAATATAATGGGTTTTTAAACACCGGCATATACAGGCACATGTACACATGCTTGTAGAAGCTGCATATGTGCACGTACACTTGAATCAGATACATATCTATGTAGATAAGCACGTATATACACAGTTGTCAGCATGGGCACTGTACTTCTGTGTCGCAGGTAAATATGAGTATACATGCATAAAGTACAGGTACATGTATAGATACAGTTCCGAGCAAGAATACGAATGCTAAGAAATGGATAAGCCACGCAAGCCTGCAAGGTGCAAGGTGGAGGTTGACAAAGGGGTTGATTCGACAGATAGACCAGCAGGCCTAGGAACATTTATGCAGGTACATACGTGGATACATACACACATACCATGGCACCACATGACAGTACATCACATGTGATGACATGTCACCACATGACAGTCTTTGGCACTACCTGACATTACATGTTACTATACATGGCACAGTGCATGACATTACATGACACCGCGACATGACATCACGACATTACACGATACATTACATGACACTGCATCACACTACATGACACCATACATGGCATTGCATGACTGCGTCATGCGTACACTCAGGATAATTTCTGGTGCCTTGTCGAACAAGCTGCTCGACGAGGCAGTTAGACACCCCCCCTGTACTTTTGGGAGTCAAGGAGCTTTCGCCAGGCCACTTACACCGTCGTTGCCAAGAACGAAGCAGGTGCGGCAGGCGGCCCGGAGTTTGGGAAAGTCCGGTAAGCAGGCAGAGGGTGCATCTGCTCGTCCTGCTCTCCGTTCAATTGGTCTGTTTGCTGCTCCAAGGCTCAGGCTGAGTTATGCTTCGCAGTCAAGGAGACGCCCCCTGTGACGCTCTCGTGCGCGGCTTGCGATGTGGTGTGTCCACGCCTGTGTTCTGAGTGTCCGAGTGTGGGACGGAAGCAGAATGCAAGTTTGCTTGAACAGACTTGTCGTGTCCCCTGCCAGGTATCCAACTGCCCTAGCTGCGCTTGATGTTGGTCAAGTTGACTCCCCAGATACCTTTGCCGGGGAAGTGTCGATAACTCAAACTCTCTTCATTCTTGCACGACCGCAAGGCATACTGATCTGGGCATGTTTCAGAACTGTCCGAGGCGGTCAGCTGGGCCCCGACGATCGAAGGTGGTGACGCAACCAAATGGCCAGGGCCTGATTTCGAAAGAGCTCACGTGCGTTCGCCTTCTTCGTCGCTTCAAACTGCTCGGAGTGCCAGGTCGGTGTCGCCTGATCTGCCCGCTGGGCTGGTCGCATCCCAAGAGCAACTCCGCAGCCTCTCGCACGAGCGCACGCGACCAAGTTGAGAGGTGCTGGGCGCCGACACGGGCGCCATTACCGGAGCCCCGACTCAGGCGCCTCTGGTAATGCTTGTAGTACCCCTAGTCCTAAGTCGATTTCGTCTCTTCATGCGGACCTTTGGAGATTTGTCGTTACGCTATCCAAGATACCACCTCGTATACTCCAGCGGATCTTTTCGCCACATCCTGAAACCCTAGTCACTAGTCAAAGCGCGACAGTTTGGCTCAAGCTGGTTTGCTCCCCTGGAAAGTCTCACTGCTACTCATGTCGTCGCCCAACTACACGTTCCATCAACGCGGCGGTCGCTGCAAGCCCGTGGAAGAGGAGGAAGCCTTGCAATGCAGCGCAGGCAAGGTGGAAAGCGAAGCAGAAGCAAAAAAGGACCGAAACGTATCGAAAGGTCCGGGTGCAGCAGTCTAAAGGCCAGGGCTCAAGTGGACAAGTTCCTGCAACACCACGGCATTCACAGTGACAGCTTCGATGTCAATGTTGCACGGTCGATGTTGAAATCTGCACCCTGGTCGTTGTGATACTCAAAGACCACCTGTGCAGGACATACTGAACAATGCTTCCAGTCAGTTGGCCAAAAAGTAGTTCGGTGGTTTGCACCGAACCTATCCACTTCATCTCGTAGCAAAGGAGAGATGGTTCGTTTGCTCCTCCACTTCGGCGCAGACCCCTTGCAGCGGGACAGTCCGCCGAAGCACTTTTTACGACTGTATGGGGCAATTTGCCCGAGCTTATAAGAGCTCAGACCGTCACGCAGATTTCAAAATCCTCACTCCAAGACTGGGCTCCGATTGGAAGCCCAGTTATGTTTTTGCTGTGGCATTTCTTGACCGGGCCAATGCATACAGAGACGCAGGAGCAGCAATCCAAATGCCTGCGTGACGGGAAGTGGAATCCGCTTCTGTTTCTTGCCTTGGCTGTAGGTGCAGACACTAACATGGGCATGTGGTATGTGGCTTCTGATTCTAAATCATGCCGCCATCCAATAGACCTACTGGCTTTGCTGCCTGAAAGGAGCCTTGGCCAACATGGATGACCTGAAGGACCTTCAGGTCATCCACGTTGGCCAAAGCAAGCTATCAAGAAGAAGAAGAAGCCAATTCGAGTGACACGCGATGCAGATGAAATTATTTACAGCCAGAAGGATGCATCCTTCTGGCTGTAAATGCTAATTTTATCTGCATCGCATGGTGCTCATGGGAGCTGGGAGCCGAAAGATGAAGGAACAGAAGTAAAACGCGGCACATCCAAGGCAGATTGCTACGGGTTCGTGCCATCAGCGGACGATGTATGCATTGCGTGTAGCAACAACATTCACTGACGTCTATTTTGCGCTGCGGCTTTGCCTGACTTCCAGGATTCGCATTCAGCAGTTCAACGCTCACATTCCTTGAGCAGGTTACGGCGTTCAAATTTTCAAGTCAAGCGGGGCGTGCAACGGTTCAGCGACAGATGCCAGCACTGGTCAAACGCACTTTCACAGAGGCGTTCTTAGTTGTGCTTAAGTGCACGGACGCAATACTATTGCTCACAGTGTTTCTATCCGAGCTTTGCATCATTGCAGTTTCACCTTATCGACTCATGGCCATGCGCCTCGCCTGCCTTGTCCGAGTGTGAGAGCCGAAGCCCTAAACTCGGCAACAAACCGACCCTGATCAAAGTCTTACAAAGCCATGTCCTGGGGCATCCTGCAGCTCCATTCCTGGGGAGTAAGGACGTTCCCAATCTCCCTCTCCTCAAAATGTTAATGATTATTTCTATAACTAAGATGATGATGATGATGATGATGATGATGATGATGATGATCTTTATCACCCCACCCCAAAACCCCCGATGCCAAATGTTCCAGCCGCATACGGGACAACGTCGGCAACACATAATTTCAATAACAGCATCAGGCAAGGACGCTCCCAGTCCCCGCTCGCAACCGCCCCGGGTCTTTGCACCTGCTCGGAGCAGAGTGAATTAATCCGTGTTACTGGAGCCTCAACATGCAGAGCTCAGATTCATGTGTGATCACGAAAATGCTCATCATCAAAAATAATAATCTGAATCCTGTAAATTCGGGGGTTCAGGCTTTAGGCAAGGTTTGGGATTGCGTTTGACACATCAATGTTAACTAATACGATTAGTATCAGTATTACTACTACTGTTCTGATGATGTTGACGGTTTTCATGTTTTCTTTTTGTTACTCTTGTTACTGTCATTGTTATTGCGATTATTTTTCTATTTGTTTTATTGTTATTATTATTATTATTATTGTTGCTAAATGTTCTTTGTCTTTCCGGGCTGACGGTAGAGGGCTTCAGTCGCTCGAGGTGGGGGGTCCGTCGAGGGTTCTTGACCTTCAGGGAATCTTCAGCCAAGCTTTTGTCCGTGCTGAAAGGGGGTTCCGGGTTTAGGAGATGTAGACACCAGCGGCGAATCCTACACCCCTCTGACGTCAGAGCGTGTATCGATCGAATGGTGCTGAAGCCCTTGTCCGAAGCGGAAGCAGCTAGCCCAATAGTAACCCTTGCAGTAGTCGCATGGGAACTCCTAAAGCAGCTGATACGCTTGATGCTTGATGAGAGATCCGGAGAATTCGTTGACTGCTTACGCGCGAGATCCCAACCCTCGTGTGTTCACACTGGCGGTGTATCATCAGACACAAAGGACAGAAGTCCTACATGTGCGCGGAGCAGCCTAGTGGACTTGTTGCCTGAAGCCTTGCCTGCCTTGAGCGTGAAAGAGTCGAAAGCCCTGAACTCCAAAACTTAACAAGCCCGGAATCCTAGATCCGTAGCGAGATGTCGGAGCCTTGCGATGAGTTTGATGGGCCTGGTATTGTGGTTGCCATGCTGGTTGGCGTGTCTGGTGCCGGATGTTTCGGTAATCCGATGTTACCTCGCAGTCGTGCAACGTCTGGATGAGAACCAGACGGCGGCAGCGGATTCGGAGCTGAGTGGATCAGCAAACGCTTGAAGATAGACACGGTTTGAAAGTTTCTGTTCTCAGCTTCCGCTTGACTCATGCAGGGGCAGCGGTTCACAACACATGCTTTCAAGAGACGATGTCGGGAGGAAGTTATTGTACCCTTTACTACTTGCTCTGTTCGCTTGAGTTCTCGCCAGATGTTGAACTCGTGTCAAGACGTCAAGCAACCTGGAGTCCTGGAGTTCTGGTGCCTCCAGTCCGTTTTTTCTTCAAGGGATGGGATGTCCAACGTACAGGATCTGATGTAGCATTCACTAAGTTGTGCTTGGTCTTCACTGGTTCCCAGCGGTGAAGACTTCCCGGTCGTCTTGGCTCGGCAGCGTCTTTTGTTGAAGCCATTGCCTCGGTTCACCTGTCTTACGTTCCGGATCTCTCTCAGCCCGTGGGTCGGTCCACGGAGTCAGGGCCCATGTCATCGGAAGCCTTGCAATTCTAAGGTGTCCCACTACTGTGAGCGATAGAAACGAACGGTACTTAAACTACTCGCACTGTTTTGTACGATGGATGTCCGTGACATGTCGGATGGAAACGGCAGCAAGCAACGTACGAGCGTCATGTTACAAACTGGCTACTTGACCGGGGTTGCATTGCTTCGCATCCCAGAGACCTTTCTGAAGGCAGCGGAGCCGGCAGCGTACACAATATGCGCTTCAAATTCCGGCGGAGAGGTGCGTGAGCCGCATCGTGGTTTATCTGCATGACAAGTTATAGAAAGCTACTGATTGAAACCCTGCTTTTCTCCATGACTTCTATTGATCTTCCGGGTCAGCGGCATGTCGGTGACTGTTCGAACCTTGTGCCGTCTCGAATTTGCGGTCTTTTTAGCCTCCTTTTATTCGTCTTTTGGATAAGCATCTATGATTCAATTGCGCATCTTTAACGGGAGAGGTAGTGCAGAACGGCCGCCCTCACGGTTCTACTGCTGCTGCTGCTGCTGCAGCTGCTGCTGCTGCAGCTGCTGCTGCTGCTGCTGCTGCTGCTGCTCTTGCTACTGCTACTACTACTACTACTACTACTACTACTTCTATATACTGCTACTGCTACTGCTATAGCTACGAATGCTACTAGGGACAAGGACAAGACCAGCCACGAAGCTTTGTGTTGGCAAGATTTGTTCGAGCACTACTATAGGTTCCCTGCCGAGTCGTGCTATCTGTTATGCTTGGTATTCTAGTTGTTTTGGTTTTCTTGTCTTTATCGTCCTTGTCCGCTAATTGTCGATCCAAACTCAATAGGCCATAAACTGACCAAGCCCTTGAACCGAAACCACTGCTAAAGGCGTCTGCACTTCTTTAGTCCCAACGTCGGATGAGTCAGAGTTTTTGGCTTCTTGCAGTTTGGCGCAGTTTATGCCTGAGCACTAGGGTTACTGGTTAAGAGAACACTGAGTCCTACGTGGCAGCATTGATCCCGATTGTTTGAAGAGGTAACTACTGCTCTTCAGCTGGAGGTGAAAGGTGTGGTGTCCTCGGAGCTCTGCATCTTCAGGGATGGGTCAGAAACATACTATAACTATCAGACCTGGATGCAGAGCTTACTGCCAAGCATCCCGACAAGAGCGTAGCCGCCACGTACCCATGAGGTTGGACCAAAGCCGCCCAACTATGGTTTGGAGGAGGCGAAGAAACGGTGTAGCGTAGCGTGATGTTGGCTGGCGTCACGTGGCACCTCAGCGCTGACGTGCAGAATGTGAGGGTGGAGCTGTGCTCTTCGTCGGGGAGGCAGTCGACTTGTCGCCGCAGGACTGCTGGGTGTCGAGTTTGCGCATGCCGGGAACCGGTAGTCTTTCGCTTCGCGAGGCGGCCGGAGATGCAACTTTCAGTGTCAGCAGGGGCCCTGGACGTGCCTGCCAGCACCTTCGTTGCTTTTTTATCCGTGGTACCGTAATGCCTAAACCCTAAATCGTAACCCTCTTTGAGACCGTGGCCATCGGAACTCTTTGGGAGAGCAAAGAGATGTGAGGCCCCGATCTTCCTGATGGCCTCAGATTTGACGAGGAGCGCCAGTGTCGTGGAGAGGTGCTCAAAGACTTCTCGGGTCACCTTTGGGTTCATATACGGGGCCATAATCGTTAGTCACAATATCTCTGTTTAGTCCCTACACAAGTACACACTCTGACATACAATAAAAGCATACCCATGTGGTCCCCATATTTGTATACTATAACGCAGGCTAGTACATAGTCCATGTAAGCACACACTCGCACTCACCCACAAAATATGTCCCCTTATGGTGCAGCAGGCCACTGGCCGGGTCACGGGAACCCCGCTGAGCCCGCTGCCGAACACAGACTTTCAGGTGCGGCGCATCGACTTTGAGGAATTTTGGGGTTTACGGGTTTGGGGGTTTAGGGGTGTAGGGGTTGAGGGTTTAGGGGTTTACGGGTTCAAAGTACAGGATTTAGGGGTTTGGGGGTTTCTTGCTCTCCCGTGTGAGGTGACTGCCACGACGGGTTCGGGCAGCGCAGACTCGAAGCTCACTTTGACGATCCGGCCTGAGAAGCCTCATGCCCTCAGGCCTGCGCTGTGCCCGACCCCACGAACCACAAAGGTCTCTGGGTCTAGTCTAGGGTTTGGGGTTTAAGGGCAGCTTGAGCGTCCCAAAATTGAAACAAGAGCCCGGCGCTCTCGGCTGCACCTGCCGATCTTTCTTCCTGAAGGGGGGTTGGAGATCGGAGGTTCTCCGAGTAGAGAGCAGTCTGTGGGCAGCCCTCCAGCCGTGTCGGGTCCAGAGCCGTAGAAGAGACGCTTTGCTTCCAATAGCCTCTCGGCAGCGCACAGGATTCCGGAACGTCCACCACAAGCTAACCTGGAGTCTGATCCTTACCCCGCATGCCAGGTATCCGGAGATAGAGGGGGCCTACAGCTTGGGCCAGGAGGTGAAGCTGGAAGCAGAGGCACATTGTTTCAGCCCTGTGCACACATTCCACCAGCTGGCAGACACGATCATTTGGTGTAACCTGTAATTCATTAGATCGGGTCATGTGCCGGCAGCCATGGCAGCATCAAAGCCAGGAGCAACGACATGTGTCTGAGCATTTGCACCAAAGACGGCTGATGTCCGATTCACTTCAGAGCTCAACCGATCACTCCGACTCGATCCAGCAGCCTCATAGTTCTGTACCTCTCAGCTGGCTTCGTAGCTCTGGACCATGGCTCCGACTCAGGAGGAAGGCAGGGGCGTGACACTGCCGAGGGCTGCGTCAGCAATCAGCAAGCGACCGCACATCTCAGGTGGCACGGATGACCTGCAATATGGCCTGACCCTTAAGGTACACCTACTTGAGCAGCCTTTGCTCCCAATCCACCCCACCAGCGCAGTCTGGCATAATGCAGTCTCCTCGAAATTTTTCTTATTTTCTCAAGGTGTGCTGGATCTTCGGCGAAAGGCGATGATCGCCGAGGGCAAGCCGATTGACCATGCAGGCCTGTTCAGGGAAGGTGCAGCCGACACTCGGACAAGCTAGTTAGCTAGCTAGCTAGCTAACTAACTAACTCAGAAACTACATGATGCGTACATATATACATATGTATGTATCTGTACATACCCACAGATACAATACACATACGTTCATGCATATATACATAAGTACACGCAGTCATACATACAATACACATACGTTCATGCATATATACATAAGTACACGCAGTCATACATACATATTTACATACATGCATGCATGCATGCATGCATGCATGCATGCGTATATATATATATACACACATACATACATATAACTTTGGGTATGTCGGGAATAAGGTTTACATTACAAGCTTTGTTGTATAAGATATAGCATATACTTTTACATACTATAACAAGTTACCAGATGTCATACTCTACGCCATATAGAAGCACGGTAGTTATAATTTATAACACATAGACATACGTAATGTCTAACATATACTGAACAGTATACACAATATGTAAACGTAGCACATAATACACGACACATAAAGGCATAACGCAAAACCTGTGCCGTCAGACGTATGGTGTACGGTATAGGCTGCCCTGTACTTTGCAGTATATAGGTTGTAAAATGGATTGTGCCTGCTGCCCTGTTGGCAAGGCAGCATCATCGCGAGAAGCTCGGTCACAGCTTTGCATAAGCGAGTGAACGGGCAACGGCCGCGGCTGCCCTAACTCAGTCGTTTAAAACCATACAAAGGACTTTGCGAGCATGCTGCTACCTGGCTCTCCTCATTCTGCCGCAGCGACGGCTTTGCTGCCAAGGTGCAACGAGCTGATGGCTTCGACCTGGTCACGTACTGAGTGCGTCGCTTGATTTCGGGAGTCGGGCTCCGAAGGATGCAGCGTTTTGCTCAGAGGACAAGACGATCTTCAAGAGCGTCGACAAGAAGTTGCCACGAATGATGGCCCAGGTCGGGTTGATGATGGGAGCTGCAGAAGTGAACCTGCGAGGGACTGACAGTGGCAGGAGCGACTTTCAGTGGAAGTGTACTGGTCGGATCGATCTACCACCCAGATTTCCGAGTCTTTCAACAAGGCTCCGGAGAGAAGATGGTCTTTTATCGTATGTTCTGTGTTTTGTTTTTTCTTCGGGTTCTGTTTCTTCAGCTTCCACAACGGTTGCTATCAAGGTTGCTCTTGGGGCGTGGCATTTCTTGGGATCAGGGCTTCGTGCGAGGTGCCTGCAGCACCTCGTTTCGATGCGCCCATCCTCGAGCGCCTTTGACTTCTAAGCGCCCTCCGGGTTTGTGACGAGTCACAGATTCAATAGCAAGGATGTAACTCGTGAGAAGCATCATGACTGTGGCAGCTGTTGTCATAGTGATACTACTCGTCAAAATAGTTGCAGAAGCCACGGGAGTAGGTCCGGGTTTCCGACTTTCCGAGCAACCTCTTGGTGTGTAGAGAACACCTAAGTGATCAGAGCATCGCATATTGCAATGCAGTGCTTTACTCTTCGGCCCTAGAAGAAGCCCTGAACGTTAAGCCGTTAAGCTTGAGGCCCTACGGAACACCTTCGGTAAAGCTGTAGCACGGGAGGGAGGCTCCGGTCTTCGTTGCTGAGTGGCATCTTGGAGCTGGCCTAAGGTTTATGCAGACCGAGTGCAACTTCTGCATGGAGCATGCCGTCGGACCCTCATCATCTGAATCGGAACGACTGAGATGCTTCAGTCCGGTTGCAGTCCGCGGCCTGACCAAGGACGGCAGCTTCATGGATCACCTCAGGCCACGAGCCTCGGAGGAAGTGACATGCCGTCTGTTGGTCCGTGGGGAGAACAGGTTTTGCTTCGAGTACAGCATGGTGCACTTCAAGGGGCACTCGCCTGGCCCACAGCGCAGCTCACAGCATCAGCAACGAGTCGATGCCATGTTGACCTCCGTCTCCGTGCCACACAGCATCGGAGCCGCAAGAGACGTTCCCAGCTCTGACCAAAAGATCAGTCGGTTTCCATCAAAATGATGCGTTCGCCGAGGCCGCGGGTGATGTTCCTGCACAGCATACTGGGTACGCCTGAGAGAGCATCTGCTAATGCAGTTGCCAAGATCCCCCCGCATCGATATGCTTCTGGAAGGTGTGGGGACAAACTACTTTCCCATGGAGAAGGCCAGGTCTGTAAGGTGCAGTCGTAGGGGATGTCAGTGGGCCTCTGTTACTGCTAGTGGCTCGGAATAGATGCGCAACAGACCTCGGCTGGCTCTTTGAACAGGAAACTCGGAACAACGCAGACATCCGAAATGCAGCTGCCGTGCTAGGAGAAGATACCAAAGCTTCGAGAGCTGCTGAACGAGGTGGAGATGAAGCACATCGAGGCTCTTCTCCCTTGTTCTATAACAGCTTCTTCGCATGCGTTCTTTTTCTTCGAGGCTTTCCCAAGTATCCTGCGACTTCTTTACCATGGGCAGTTGATGGACGAGTGCCTTGGAGAGTTCAGGGCTTTGCGAGACTTTGTGGGACTTTCCAAAAAAAGGGGGTACCTTATTTTAGGGTCCTTATAATAAGGATCCCATTATTTAGGGTACTATATTGGGGTCCCCTATTAATAAGGATCCTATTATGTAGGGTGCTACATTAGGGTCCCCTATTTTCGGAAACCCCCCTTGTGGGTCCTAGACCTGGGAGCCCAGGCTCTTGGCCGACGCTGAAACCCTGCGCTTTGGCACGCAAGAGGAGCATCTTCATTACTTGGAGGTTCATGGGTAGTTATAAGGGGTTCCTTTAAAGGGTTCTATGGGGTTTAGGGTTTAGGGTCTAGGGTTTGGAGGTTCATGGGTAGTTATAAATGGAGTTATAAGTAGGGTAAGTATAATTATAACCCAGATTTGGGGACTTATACCCATACTTTTAACTACCCATGAACCTCCAAGTATGCTAAGTGATAGTAGTTGTTATGGCTGTTGTTAATATTCGTATCAATCGTATCATGATGGAAATGAGCATAGTACTTATTGTTGGAATTCTCTTACTATTAGACGTATGATTATTGTTACAGTTATATGATAGTGGTAGTGATGGTGATCATCATTACTATGGTCTTCTTTTATAACCATAGTGGTAATAGTAACAGAAGAACCACTCTTGCTGTTTTGGTTATTCTCAGTCTTACTCTTGTTCTTAAGTATTATTGTTAGTAATTATGTATTACCATTGTTCTTGACCGAGGCCGAAGACTTTGCAGTCCATCTCCTTCCACCGGGCGGGGAGCTCTTACTCAGCTTCGACGATTGGAGCGCGTTTCCCTACTGGTGTAGAGTTACTATTGTTATTGTCATTATTGTTATTGTTGTTATTGCTACTATTGTTGTAAGTTGTATTTCTTATTGTGATTTTGCTGGCATGCAGGTCATCGACAACGAGGAGCTAGTGCTGACTGCTGACGAGTTCTGGGCAAGAGCCTCGGAGGTGCGGAGGCTTTCCTACTGCCAGATCTCGAGCGTCCTGAGGTAGCCTTGAACTACCAGCTCATGCATCAGCTGGACTTTCTGCCTGTGGCCTCTCGTCCGAATCTGGACAGGCTGTGAAAAATCTCCATTTGTTAAATTGCCCTCGCAGGGCAGTCGAGGGAGCCTCATTCGGGGACTACTTCGGCATGCTGTGCCTTCTTCTTCTCCCTCTCCGTCTTCGCATTATTCAAGCATTTCGGAGCACCGGGACCATATTCTATACCCAAAGCAGGAGGATGCTGATTGCCACTCATCTTGCGGCTCTTGCTCTCATTACTTAACGGTATTGAAATCTTGGGCTTCTGTACGTATGTTAGTAATCAATTTATACCCTAACACCCCCCAAAACCCTAAAACCCAAACCCCTAAAACCCCAAAGCCGAACCCCTAAACCCCAAACCCCCAAAACCCCAAACTCCCAAACCCCCCAAAACCTAAAACCCCTAAACCCCTAAACCCTAATACTAGTTCCTTTCTAATGCCTTTGAAGATCGCTGAATCCAATCGGCCGAGGCCAATTGGGCCGAAGCCGCCTGGGCCTCAGGTTGTTTTCAGGAGGTCGTCTTTTTTGACTCTTCTCTTGGGTAGTTCTTTAAATTAGGGTCAATTTTTGGGTCCCCAATATAGCACAGCACCCTTGTAAAAAGGGCCAAGGGACCCGAGTTTAGAGAGCTACCCTTGTTGTCGGCTGCGATTTAGGGGCTTAAGGGTTAGTGGGGTTTAGGGCTTTAGGGTTTAGGGTTTACAACCCTTCTGCGATTTAGGATTCAGGGCCTTGGGGTCTTGAGGGCTTTAGGATCTCGGATCTAGGCTTGGGGACTGAGGGCTTTAGGATTCAGGGCTTTTTGGCTGCTTCCTGAGTGGGCTCGCCTCGGAGTCTTAGGTGGACGACCAGTTCTTCGTTTTCTTCCTGGGCCTGTATGAGGTCCTCACCCGCGCAGGCCCGCTGCGCAGTTGTCGTGCGGAAGCGCCATGTGTCTTGTTGTGCCCGCTCTCTCTCTCTCTCTCGTGCTCTCGCTCTGGCTCTATCTCGCTCTCTCTCTCTCTCTCTCTCTCTCTCTCTCCGAAGATATATGTAGTCCGGAAGGCCTTTTGGGATACTCGCAACAGAAAGCCATTCTTCACGTATAATGTTCGCAGACTCTAAACCCTATAACCACAAACCCCAAAAACCCCCTAAATGCCCAAGCCACTGAACTGGTCAAAATGATCGCAAGGTGTCTCGGTGTACTTAAACCCTAAATCCTGAGAGCCTACACCCCAAGCCGTTATTTCCTGGTTGACTTCCGCCGTACAGCATGCTGGCCATGGGTCTCTCCCGGTGGTGTCCAACCAGGGTCTGGTAACTGGGGCTTAAAGCTTTAGCTTCATGAGGTGATGATTGTGGATTTGGTGGATTCCCATCCTCAAGCATAGGAAAAGAGCCCACAAAGAAGAAGCCCAAAACCCCGCCTCCTAAACCCCAAACCCTGAAGCATAGACCCCTAAACCCCCGAAACTCTTGAACCCCGTAAACCCTAAACCCTGCACCCCTGAACCGGTGGACTAAGGGAAGCTGGAGGCTGAGGTGAACTTCGACTTGAAGCGCGGGGCTGAGTTGCGGCTTTGCTTTCAGGGGTTTTGCCGGGGGGGCTTTGGGGCTTTTTAGAGTTTGGGCCAATGACTATGCAATGTAGAGAGAGAAAGAAAGGTAGCTAGACACATAAGTGGATCGATGCATCGATAATTACACAGACGGATATACAGATAGATAGACAGATAGATAAATAGATAGGTAGAGCGGCAGGAAGATGGATAGACAGATGCGGACTGTCTTAGTATGATACAACGTCCATGCTGAGATCACTTAACCCGGAACCCTAAGTCCACAAGAATCCCAAATGCCCGATCCCCGTATGAACAGGGAAACTCCATGTGCTGGAACCCTGAAATCCTGAACCCTAAACCCTAAACCCTCAACCCTAAACCCTAAACCCTAAACCCTAAACCCTAAAACCCTAAACCCTAAACCCTGGACTCGGATTTGTTGCATCGCCGAGGATGGCGACGCCACCCTCGGACTTAGCTCCGGGCTCGGGCTTTTTTTCAACTGCTTTGTAAGGCTTCGTAGAAGTCTTGCGAGGCTTCAGGATTGTATAGGGGTTGCAGAAGGGTTTCTGTGTGGCTGTAGGGTTGGGCAGGCTTTCCAAGAGTAGCATATTCCAGACAACTGTTGCAGTAAGAACAATGCCTTCACTGGCAGTCCGACCGATGACACAGACTGAAGCTAAGAGCAGTGCTTTCAATAGGCAGAAATGGCAAAGGAATCGTTGCGTGAAGATGAATGCCCGCAAAAGGAGTGATGATCCTCACACCAGCAGCCGGTGTGGGATGTAGTGAACTTCGAGGTGGTAATCCGCAAAACTGCTGCCTCAGCTAGGTGCAGTGGCTTCGGATGAGGGGTCTTGGTAGGTGTGCTCTAATTGAAGTCCTAAACCCTAAACCCTAAACCCTAAACTCTAATGGGCCCCAAAACCCTATTCCAATTATTAAGGCCCCTATATTACACCCTTATGCGTTTGCCAGTTTCGCTCCAAAAGTGGCTGCCACGTGGCTCCGAAGGCAAGACCCAGCATGACTCTTGGCAGGCCTGCTCCTAAGGCTGAGACGACCGTCATTGGTTTAGGGTTCAGGGTTTAGGGTTTAGGGTTTAGGGCCCTAAGCCCTAAACCCTAAACCCTAAACCCTAAATCTGCAGGCATCGTGACCCATCATGGCCTTGTGGATGCTTTCGCTTAGCTGGGCACCGGGTGCGTTGTGTGCGCCCTGAGGTTCATCAACAAGATTGTGCCAGGGACTGTCAAGAAGAACATCGCCCGCCAGGCCAGTGCTGCAAGAAGCGGTCAGTTTGTGCGAAACCTAGTTTCAGAGACGTGTTCCGCTGTTAGAGTCATGTGGCATGTTGCCGATGAGCACAGCGGTGGTGATTGTGGTGGTGGTGTTGGTGGTCATGAGACGAGGCCGACTAAGGCCTCTAGTAACAATCCTCCTGGTTGTGGTTTTGGTCACGATGGAATGCCCTCGATACCTGCGCAGACCGTCGCTCGCTTCTCCGAGTTGATCAACCACAGCCGCTCGGTCGTGTCACATGTGTCACCTCCTGGGGTACACTGCCTCGGGTTAGCTTGGGTTGCAGTGCGAAGACTCTGCGCAGTGGCACGTGTGTCATGTAAGGACGAAATTGACCAAACCCTGCCAGTCTGAACTCTGGTTTCTGTCAGGTTTGGACTACAAGCTCACGCTGTCGTCCCCATGAGGGTCGAACTACAGAGTCGAGACTTTATGACGTCATCCGCGGTTGAAGCGTCGAGACGTCATCCACATTTCAGAAAACGATGAAAGCATCGCATCGCGCCGTAGCCTGCAGATGCCTGTAGCCCTTGCTTGTGATGCAGTTGGCACGCAAGCCGGCTTTCAAGATGCAGCGAAAGGACGAGTTCGTGTCCCGCACAGATGCCTTGTTCGCTAAGACCCACAATCGGGATTGTGGGCTGGCACAGACATTCGCTTTGTTGCCTTCTTCTTCTACAGCTCTGTGCTGCCTGCAGGTTCAAGGCTCTGTGAGCAGCTTTGCAGTGGCCGGGAACTAAGGTTCACATTGGAAGGTTCCCGAGTCGTCATGCCGTTCCGTGCTGAATCCTACTATCCGTAGCCATCGGCCCGTTGCTGAACCTGTCGTCGTGACTAGTCGTGACCTCCAATTCCAGTGGTTAGGAGCCGCCACTTCCTCAAGGAGTGAGCCTGGATGAGACCACGGGTGCGCTGCGACATGCGTTGAGTTTGGCCCCGTAAAGAAGGAATAGTTTCGCTTGCTTTAAGCAGAGAGGGTCATTTCAGGCATATTGCTTGTTCAGTAATCCACTGAAGGCAAGTTCCACCAGGCTAGTACCTGGAGAGAGGTGTGATCTTGTGCTTGAATGACAGGTGCCATCACTGGTGCTTTCGGTGCCCTGTGTGCCGAACAGACGTATGTGGTGACGGCCTTTGGGGAGGACCGGCAAAAAGGAACCGTCAATTTGAACTCCAAAATCGTGGGATCTACCCCTGCAAAAGGGTGGAGGGCGGGAGGTTGGGTGCCTGCCAGAGTGCACTTCGACTATGCTGCGCTTGTGCTGAACCTCCCCAGGATGCACACACATCGGCAGAGCTGAGTTTCGCCGTGGTCAAGACCTCGGTGATTACGCCCTGAGCCTAAACCCTAAACCCCCCCTATAATTTCCTGTGGTGGATTTTCCCAATTCAGGTGCTCCCTGCTCCAAAGAACTTGACTTATCCAATGGCGAGGCAAAGGGAATCAACACCCAAGCCAAGACCAAGCTTTTCGCACGAACTCCTCTGCAACTGCAGTCCATCCTACGCCGTGGGCGAGCCGATGTCGATCGAGCCAGACCTTGAGGGGCTGCGTGCTTGGACACCTGTCGACCCACCATGTGGCTTTCAACCTTCGAGTGACAGAGCATGTGTGAATGTGCAGAGGTCTGAAGGCTGTACATTCGCAGTGGAGCCCTCCTTGCCTGAGGCTGCAGTGTCTCACAGTGTGGAGTCATTTTCATCGTGTCCATATGCGGACAGCCTGCACAACAATCTAACCCCTTTCACGTCGTGCAGCATGCAAGAGCAATGGAGCCAGAGTGAACATGTTCAGAGCATCTGAGCCAATCCCGTGGCTCTCAGGGGCTGGTGCTAGATCCGGCGACGGGTGTGATCAGTGGCCAGCCCGTGGCAGAGTGAGGGCCTGAAATGTCAGAGCCATATTTCCTGCGCTGGTTGTCCAATGACTGCAGATTGACATCAGTCTTTTTCCGAAGTCATGATGGGAATGGTTGCGGCGCTTGTTGATTGAAATGGTGGTGGTGATGGTGGCGGTGGTGGTGCTGGTGATGGTGGTGGTGGTGGTAATGGTGGTGGTGGCGGTGGTGGTGGTGGTAGTGGTGATAGTGGTGGTGGTGGTGGTTGCAGGTAGTGGCGGTGGTGGTGACAGGTGGTGGTCGTGGTGGTGGCGGCGGTGGTGGCGGCGGCGTGATGTGATGATGATGACAGTCATGGAGACGACGATGACGGCGGATTGTGGTAGTGTTGCTGATGGTTGTGATGATGTTGATGTTCAGGATGATGATCACGGTAACCATGGTGATGATGACGACAAGCTTGACGATGATGATGATGATGATGATGATGATGATGATGATGATGATGATGCTGATGATGATGTTGATGTTGATTATGATGTTGTCGAAGATGTCGATGCTGATGCTGATGTTGATGTTGTTGATGTTGATGTTGTTGATGTTGATGTTGTTGATGATGGTCTTGATTGCGACTGTGATGCTGATGAATTACGAGGGGTTACTATTATTCGGGGTGGTCGTTGTCGCCGTCGTAGCGTGCTGCAGGAGTCGTCATAGCCACTTTCCAGTTGCAAGTAAGATAAAACAGTAGCACTCCTGAGTGTTGCTGCTTTGTTCCTTTCTACTTGTTGTTGTAAGACTGACAGCTCCATACACGGTTGATATTCGAGCAGGAAATCATTGGCATCGGCACAATGAATCACCATGATGAAGATGTTTGAAGTTTGGGTAAGGTCGCCCGAGACCACGTGCTCCCGACGTAATTTGTGTGCACATTACATCGGGTGCGAGTCTCAAACATGGCTGCATTGCGTGTGCCAGGTACGTGTTGAGTGCCTCAAACGCCTCTGGCAGCACGACTGCCGATCTCACCTTTCAGGCAGTTCCCTTGAACCAGCAACTTTTCGCAACTTGAACTCCAAACCCTAAGCAAAAAACGACCTAGAGGTGCAAGAAGTGCAGACTGTCGATGCAGCGGGCATCGACCAAAAGCTTGCAGCGAAGATCGAGGCAAGGCTCGGGATTCGCTTGGGGAAGCGTTCCACTCTTCAGCATCCCCCCCTTTTCCTCGTGACACTCTTCAACAAGCCCCTTTTGGGTTTAAGGGTTGGAGTTCAATGAGGACTTAGAGTTTAGGAAGTTTAGGGTTTAGGGTTCGCATTTGGGGTTCTGGTGTCCCCGTACCCGAAGGTGCTCGTTGTTTTCTCCCGCGGGTCTCTCAGCTGCAGGCGATCGAGGACATCTCCGACATGATCGAAGAGCCGGCTAAGGCATAGAATCCGGGCCTGTTGTTGCTAGCATGTGGATCCGCAGCACATGGGATGGCCGCACCCATGATCTCGTAATCATGATGAGCTTCTGGCGTAAACCCCTAGATCAAATCCCATGGCAAGGCCAAGTCATTCGGAGACTGGTGCGGGCCTTGAGCCGCACGTTTCGATTCTGGCATCTAAGTGTGTTTCCCGTAGCGCTGTTATCGGGATTTGTAGGCCCTACAGGAGACTGAAACAAGTTTTCTTTCTGGCGGGTATACAGAAAGGTTCATAAGGCTTGGGCTTTCCAGCAGGCTGAGGATGGTTTTGCATTTTAAGGTGCCTGTGTATTGACTTCCTTTCTTCCAGCCCTCCCAGTTTGAACCCACAGGTGATGATCACTCTAATGCTCGCAATCGTCTCAGAACTAATCTTCAAGTGTCGTTCGATTGTGTGTGCCTGGAGTGGCTTCTGAGGGTTGCTCCATGCGGAATGAAGCTCACTACCTAATCATCGGCCGTTCGATATTGAAAGCAGCCGGCGGCTAAGTCTTAGGTGTCGCCAGCCTTCGCAGTCCAGTTTGAATGATGGCGACGCATTCTCGTGTCGATAGCAGGTAGTGTTCCGAGTGTTTACGGAAGTTTTGATACTCACACATTTACTGGTATTGATGTTCAATGATGTTCAGATGTTCGGTAGGAGTTACAGCTGAGACAGCTCAGGATGATCTGGATGGTGCACCGTGCACACCTCGATGACCGAAGCATGTCAGTCATGGAGACATGGCGTGGTGGGTCGTATGCAGCCTGGTTAGTGCTCCCGTGGCGTTTAATTTGTTGAAGGTTTCTTCGGGCTGGTGCATGGCATGGATGCTGTAAACTTTGCAGGATCCCACTTTGACCGATTTCGATTTCAGCAACCTTCACATGCCCCGCGGAGACCTTGAGGCCTGCCAAGAGCCAAAAGGCACCAGAGGTCTTTTCAAAGTCGTTGCGGCTTTTCAGGAGCGGATAGCGCCAAAGCTGGCGAAGGCCTGGAAGCATCTGTCGCGGTACCGCAAGATGATTTCTACGGAGTTGTTGCAGAGCTATGTCATGTGGAGAGAAGATGGCAGGCGATGGCATGGAACACCAACATTCAGACCTTGTCGCTGGTGAACTCCAACTTGCAGAAGGACCTTCCAAAGCAAGCCAGTGTTGATCAGGAACAGCAACTCTATGTGACGCAAAGGCTGAAGGTGTCGTGCTCGCACAGTCTTTGAAAACGAGATTTGGCTGCAAGCAGGGGTCATCAGGGTCCTCAAAGTTTCTTATGTTCAGCGAAGGGATCATTCTACAAGCTAGCTCAGGAACAAGACGCTGCTGCACCTCAACCTCGAGTGCTGGCCCAAGTCGGCCCTAAACCCTATACTGGCTCCTGCAAATTGTATTTCGTGGACACGGGCGTTGACGGGGGACTGCTTGCTGAGGAATAACTGCTTGGATTCAGCCTCCGTCAAAGACTTGGTCGCAGCCTTACTGTGCGCGGCCTTGTCCAGCAACAGCTGTGCGAGATCTGTTCGACGTTGTTTTTTGCGCTGAGAGCTCAGGCCACCAATCTTATGGAAAATCCGAGCAGGAGCCGAGCAGCTGTGTGAAGTGGTCAGCATGTGGTGGGCATCCGCTGCGCCAGTAAAATCGAGACCTTGCGCGTGGCGCAGCAGAAGCAGGTGGGCAACTCCTTTGGCAGGCGAGAAGAATCCGCCAAAGAGGGACAGTCTGCACAGATCGCCCTCCGCACAGGCCAGTGGAAGAGGCGTTTGGCCACTTGCTGGAGAAGAACGAAGCCATCCTCAGGCGCAGCAAGGCGTCATCTGAGACAGTGCGCGCTGATGCACGAAGAGGCTGGGCTTTTTTTGCAGCGATGCGCACTGGCGCAACCTGATCGATCGGGACCATGCCTCAGCTGCATCTGCGAAGCAGCAACGTTAAGAGATGGAGAGAGCGAGGGAGCGAGAGGGAGAGCCTTGCCGGGAGGCCGTGCTGCGCAATAACGACTTTGCCAGGCTGAAATCGTATAGCCAGGGGTAGACTGTCGGCAAGATGCACCTCCTCACTTGGTCAGGAGGCGGAGGAAGCGGAACATGGGCGAGGAGGAGGCTTCGCGTTGCGCTGCCGTGTCCACTCGGTAGCTTCCCTTTCTGGCCGAGTCCTCTCAGGAGGAGGTGCCTGCAGAAGAGAAGCCTCTCAGTCGACTTCTGCTGAAGACACCGCCTGCAAAGCCAGCCAGCGAGCTGCTTCCGGAGGCTTCCTCCGTAAGCATCGTAGCGAACAGGTTCACAGTATGTATGTAACAGCATGGCTAAATTTCTACTCGAAGGCCATGTGCATACACTGCTCATTCATTGCATTTACACTCATGCACACGCAGATAGATAGATAGCTAGATAGATAGCTCGATGGATGGATGGATGGGTGGATGGATGGATAGGCAAACAGTAGGTTACATAGCTAGATAGACGGACCGACAGATAGATAAATAGATAGACGGACCGAACGATCGATAGAAAGATATACCGACCGAACCGTCGATAGACCGAGAGGTAGCTAGGCTAGCTTAGGTAGCTAGCTAGGTGGCGAGCTAGCTAGCTGGATACTTCGATGAGTAGATAGACCGATAGATAGGTAGATAGATAGATAGATAGTTAGATGGACGGATGGATAGACACATAGATGCAGGTAGAAAGGTGTACTGGTAGCCAGAATTAAATCACGACACACAGATAGATAGACAGATTCATGTACCGATGCATGTACATATGCATCGGTACATAGTGTTGGCATGCCTACACACATGTGTGTATGCATGTGTGCAGATGCTTATATATGATCCCGGTTCTCGGTT